CTGGAGAGGAGGGGGAACATGGGCCTCCTGTGGGATTCGGGTAGGCTGCTTCTTCTCACACTCCAGCTACTGGCTGGCTTCCCGTGGGGAAACCCCTTTCCCTCTCTGGGCTTCAGTTTCCCCATCTGTAAAAAGAAGGAGCTCGCATGGACAATCTAAAAGCTATGGATCTAAAGTTGTACTTTTATGTCTATTGATGAAAGAGTCTTAGTGATAATAATGATAATAAGAGAAACAGCTAAAACTTACTGAATGCTTATGACTAGTGCTACTACTAAAAATAGTTAACATTTACTGAGTATTGAATAATAATAATATTCATACTAATAATAGCTAACATTTACTGAACACTTATTATAAGCCAGGCACCATTTAAAGCGTTTTACATGTATTAACTCATTTGAACCTTATGCCTATCCTAGGAGGCCGGTACTGTTCTTATCCCTGCTTTACAGATGAGGAAACAGAGGCCCAGAAAAGGGAAGTGACCTGCTGTGAGTCACACAGCCAGGAATTGATGGGGTGGCAGTGTGACCTCTAGCACCAGAGTCCTTGCCCTTCATCACCAGGCTGTGCTGCCTTTCTGTCCCTGTCATTCTGCCTCCTTCAATGATAGGACTAGATACAACAGCAAGGATGCTAACAACAGTAATATTAGTAATAGTAATACCCACAGTGATCCATTAGTTCTTAATTATGGAGTCCTGTGCTAAACACTTTATTCTTCCCAAAATCCCTTCAGTGGCCTCCCATTTCCCTGGGAGGACTCAAGGTTTTTCTGGCCTGGAAGATGCCCCCAAAAGCCTTGGACCCTGCTCTCCTTTCAATTCTGAGGGACAAGAGTGGCTTTTCCATCCTCCTCCCAGGAATAGCATCAGGTGAAAACATGGTTGGCTCAGTAACTCCTGAAAAGAATCTAAATTTACCAAGCACTTACTGTGTGTCAGCCGTTCCTTCAGGCCCTTTGCATATATTACATCATTTAATTTCAGCAACGACCCAGTTAAGACCCTGCTATCCCCATTTTACAGATCAAGAAAACCGAGGCCCAGAGATGTAAAGTCCCTTGCTCAAGGCCACACAGCAAGAGCCGCATAATTCTGGAGGAAAGTTCTTGTAGAGTTTCTCTGGAAGGTACAAGGGCATGATAGTTTGCCTGCAGTTTCTGGAGCGGGATGGCCTGGGTTCAAGGTCACTTACTAGATGTGTGACCTTGGGCAAGTCACTCCAACTCTCAGTCTCCCCACCTGTGAAATGGGGGCATGACAATGAGCTCTGTCTCAGGAGGTTGTCCAGAAGATGAAATGAGGGGCTCAGAAAGTACCAGGCACACAGCAGGTGCCACTTTGGCTAATCTTATTATTACCCCCATTATCTTCGCTTCCACTTACTTCCTCCTCCGGTGCCTGCGCTCCTTGTCCTCCCTGCGTGTGTCCCCGTCATACGTGGGCGGAGGGCCGTGCCGGTGCCGCCTCCTCC